GCCCCGTCCCTCCCTCCCTGCCCGTGTCTCTCGGCGGGTCGGCCTGTCCCTGGGCTCGGTGGGGAACGGATGCTCAACCAGCACCGCAGAATAGTAAAATCCATGGGCTGCAGCTGGGCCTGTGGGTGAACCCCTGTTATGTGGGGACCTCACGTTGCCCTGCCTCCACCCACGCCCTGCCTGGGCATTCCCGTGTAGCACTGAGGGGCAGATTGTATGGTCCAGTTGGGACTTGGTCCTTCTGATAGGCCTGGGAATATTCAGCCCTGGACTTGAGGTTGTATGTAGGAATCCTGGTCTAACATGGCGGAAATATCCATATTCAGGAGCCCTTTTATCTGCCTCCTAAATGTCCCCACAGAATTGAATAGAGGATTTACATGCTGGGCAGCTAGCAGAAGAGGTGAACGTAAAGTTAAAAAACACAACGGAGAGGAAACATGTGGTGGAATTTGTAAGCCTGGGGCAGAGACTGTAGCTCTGTAATATCGGGTGTTGCAAGCTACAACCCTGCCTGTGACATGGTTAACACAACGGGACAGAGAAATAGCAGGCAAGGAACAGGAACACAGAAAGAATTTAAAACAGCTGAAGTAGGGACGGGGCCCTGCAATGATCCTGCTCCCCTTGCACAGACAGGAAGCACGGGGACAGCATAACACCTTGGGGACAGCTCCCTGAACCGACAAAACCAGATGTCTCCGTCCCCTGTTAGAAACGTTTGTGGGCAAGAGCCGGCTGCAGGGAGCCACCCTGAGCCTGGGGAATGGGGAGAGCAATGGAGAAACTGGACCCTGCAAAATTAAAATGTGAAACAGGGTCCGTGCAGCGCAACCGCCAGCCCAGGATAAAAGTCGGTTTCCGGTTAAATCTAAACAGGGCCCTAGCTGGCTGCCTGTCAGAGCAGGACAGGTAAGGGGGCAGAAGGAGAATGGGAAGGAAGATAGAACTGTCCCCGGATCACGGCAGGAGGCAGGATCAGTGACTCAGTCCCAGAGGGAGGGAGGGAAAAA